AAACGCTTTGGTATTGTCATTTTCTCAGCCCAGTTATTAAAAGGAATTTCACTAGAATTCTCAGTGACATGACTGACGTCATGAGTACTCCTACTAACATCTTGTGCCTAATAAAATGATATATGTTTTTAATTTTCCATACTTTTAATATTACGCATTATTTACTTAATGACTCACCGTTGAATCCAAACTATCAGATACATAACTTGGCGAACTAAATGAAACCGGTGATGATGCAAAATTACATGTAGATGGCTCAAGTGATGATGAAATGATTTGCTTCAGACGAACTCGGTCTCCAAGGAGTGGTGCTATTTCTCTTAAATATTCTTCATTTAGTTGAATGAAGATTTGGCCATCAATTTTATGCCTTCTTATATTGTCACTGACAGCTGCTTCTAGGCCAGGAATTTCTTTCTGAAGTAAATCAACCAGGCCATCCACACTGAGAGAGTGTATTTGTGCCATGCCTAAGGTACTGGAAGAGGAGCAAGTCGGTAGAAGATCATAACAGTAGCCACTCAGTAACAATGATTATCACTACACTAGTGCTGGGCGATATATCAAAACTCACGATATTTAATCGATATAATGCGGTATCGATACTTATCAATATCGAAAAAATTTGAAGAAAATATCGATAACAAGACCACGCCCACAAAATGGTTACATAACCTTAATAAATGGTTAATTAACTATAGGACTAACATCTCAAAAATTACTAAAATGTATTTTCTTGGAAAGTAGATGAAGTAGCTGAAGTATATGAAGCCAAAGAAGGTTTATATAATGCTTTTCAATAGTAATTTTTCTCAGAAATAGCTTTATTTAGCCATTTTAGTAATATTAAAGTTAATGGGTGTGGCTTAATAACTTATCGATAAAAAATATCGATATCCTCATTTTTAGGCAATATCGTATCATATCGTATCGTTTCAAAATTTTCAATATCGCCCAGCACTACACTACACTCACTTATCAGGCGCTAATACAGAGTCTTAAAGACACGTGAAATTCGTGAATGACCGCAATGACGATTGACGATGACGTGATAGAGATGAGTAAGGTGTGTCCTTGATTAAACATCTGCATGGCGAGAGCTTTACACTCCTGCTCATACTGCTCTGATTTTGTTGCCCCTACCACGAAGCGATTGCTGAGGCATGTGAAGTTAGTTCACTCACAAGAACCTGGATTTAAAATACGATGTTCATATCCTCACTGCTCCAGAAATTTCTCCAATTACAGAACCTATTCAAAACTAGGCCCCGCCTGACTATATCAAAACCACTTAATTCGCCATTGTAGGCAGAGGCTTACTAGAGAGTACCCAAATGAAGTCAGCGGCAACGAAGAGGGACGTACTGAAGAGCATGGAGAACCAAATGAGGAGGTACAACCTCTAGACACTACTGCTTTAACTGAAAATATTGCTAATGACGTCAGGAACTTTTGTGCCAAATGGATTTTGAAGAC